ATTATCTGTAGGGAAGTGCAACTATTTATTCCTTGTTGGTGGCCAAAGTTTTCTTGAGAAGAGGTATTCTAAAGCCTGTATATGAGCAAAACTAGTGTGTATGTGTAAGAATATGTGTTGAATCGACTGGGATATCTACATAAATGTCTGCATTGTATGGAGAGTCTGGGGTTGCCAATTGTTTCCATAGTGATTAACAATGCTCCTGGAGTTGAACAGCAGTTCCTGGCCAAGAAAAAGGCCTTCCCAAAACTCTTTGTCCATACTAGTGCTGCCTGAAAAAAACAACAAAATTTACACTACTGACTTATGTTCAAGCAAGACTGAAAGTTATTGAAAATTTTCTGAGTAACTGCAAGCTCTGCTTTTGAGCCATTCTTCTGTTTTGATATTTGACCTGTTCTTTGCAAGATCTTGCTACATATCAGGAAGCCATAAGGGTGTGTGAAAAATTGCCAGCATCTTTGTCCTTTTACCCATGTCTTCCTTTTTTTGGGTCTCTTGATTAATTCTTGTGTTTCACAAATCTGTGTACTCACATTTTGCACAGCAAACCACAACTTCTCTAGTCATTATGTGGAAGTGTAAGTAAAAACAATCAATGTCCCTCCTCCAACACAAATAAAAAAAAATGAAAAAAAAAAAAAAAGAGGGGTAAAGAACCTTCCCTTTCCCAGCCCCTACCTACCTTAGGATGCTGATGGCATTTTGAAGGGATGTTGACCTGTATAAAAGAGACCCAAAAATGCATCTTGCCACTGAAAAAACCTGAGATGGTAGCTGAGCATTTTAATTAAAAAGTAAAAAGCAGATAAAACCTTTTTAGTGTTACTGAGGGTCTTCCCTAGAAAGCATTAGTATCACTGTAGAATTTTGTATCATTGTAACTAGTGAGGTAAGCACCTATTCCATTTTCTTCAATATGGCAATGTCCTTTCTGGCTGTCTCTTCTGGTGTTCTGCAGACTTAAATGTTTAACCTCTTCTGTTAATGTTGGATAAGATATGCAGTAATGAAGATAGCCTGGTTTCATGAAGGTCATTTTAATCTTGTAAATGGATAAGATGATGATAGCCTGCACCAAGGGTAAAAGCACACCTTTTGATCCACCTATGAGGAAATTCAGAGGGAATTAACCCTCTTCTCCTTTGCCTTTCATGGGAAGGCAATTGTGCGTGCTGTTAGCCACTAAGGGTGGCTAACAACCAGTGTCTTCAGAGTTATTGTCAGAACTGCATTCCTCTTACCAGTTGTTTGTTCTAAACAAGCGAGTTTTTGGGGGCCATGTGGAAAGCAACTTGCAGCTGAACTAATGTCCGGAATTGGGGGATGCCTTAGAGACAGATAGTTTTGCTTCTGATTAAGTAGCATTTTCCACTGCAAAGCGCAAAAGGAATATGCACTAGTCTGCCTCATTTGAGTTGCAAAATGAAAGGAAGTGATCAATTCTGTATGACACACAGTTTCTCAGAGGACATTAGGAAGGGGGATGGAATGACCAAGGAGGCCAGAGACTTTCATTGGAGTAATGCTGCAGTAAAAACTTCCTTATTCTTTTTACTGTTATGTTGTCCTTTACTCTTCTCATGCATAAAAATTAAATAAATTGCAGAAATTACAAAATGCGCAACTGCCCAAAGTATTATAAATAGAAAGTGTTTCCAGGTGTGCCACTCATAACATTGCTACAAGAGTTCCTTGTCTTTCATCATAACAGAATGTCACACAAAGGGAAACAAAACAACAAAAATCCCCCCAACCTTTGTCTATACACTTAGTTCTGTCTGTTCAGCTGTAAGACCACAGAAATGCCTTACCAGTTAGAAGATGGTACTTAGGGAGAGCATTATGGTGCTGATACACATGGCCCGTTTCCTTTCTATTTTCCCCAGCATTGGCAACTGTTGGATTAGGAATCTTCAAGTCATCTTTTAAAAATTGATTGCACATATACCTGAGATCAGCTCAGTTGGTCAGAGCATGATGCTAACACCACCAAGGTCATGGGTTTGATGTCTGTATGGGCCATTCACCTAAGAGCTGGACTTGGTGACTTCCATCTCAGAATATTCTGTGATTCTGTGATAAATGTCTGTATAGTAACAGCACACGTAGTAATCATGCTCAGTGAAATGAAATTTGGCATCCTGATGTAAGAGTCCCTCTATAAACAATTCTTGAAACTACTCAGAATTCAATGGGAGCTTAACAAAGAGAGCAGCAATTCATTTGCCCACTCTCAGTTGAAAAATGGGAGCACAATTTTGCTGCTTTTCAGGTCAACCTACCTGATGCGTAAGTGTCCTTAAAGCATTTGAAAATAAAACAGTTTGAGTAGAGTAAAATAATGGTTTTTTAATGCTGTGTTTTAAGCTCAGGTATGTCTGGTTTGAAAAACTTACCCGCATGGTCTTAAGCATGCTCATATACTGAATTTTTTTATGTGGTATTATTTGGGTAACCATGCTAAAAGAATCTGGTACCCATTGTTGCATGCAAAATGAGGGTTGTGAATGAACAAAAGTATTAAAACCTTTTTGTTGTTGTTGTTGTTTCAACTGATCAAATATAAAATTGGCTGATCAAGACACGGACTTAAATAACAAAATAATTTGCATATGCAGTGCCTAATTTTCAAATTTATTAGCTATTAATCCATTAATATCAAGCTATTAATCCATTCCTTGTAAATAACAATCTCATTTGTAGACAACCTTATTCATTTGGAAAAAGAAGTGGGAATGTTGAAACTTTCCACTCATTTATTTGTGAATTGGTTAAGCTACATTTTGTGAAAGTCTAGTCATATAACTTCTGTTAGTGTTACAGTTTTGTTTTGAAAGTCTTACAGTGGGCATCAAGACAAGCCAAATTGTTTTTGTTGACCCCAGTTTTGTCAGGGTAGGGTTGAAAAATGGTAGCTACAAGGTCAGCAACCGTGAGTTACTCAGCCATGCTGAACGCAGAGCTGCTGCATAGAAAGCACTGCATTGACACTTGAGTGGTCTCCAGCACAGCTGACTCTTTCTCTTGGCTGAGCCCTCCAGACCTCTAATAAATATGTGGAAAAGATTGGTTTTTAAAAAGCATTTGCTACCCTTCCCCATCCTTCCCCTGCTTTCAGGTCCAGATGAACTCCTTGATTTTCCTGCCTGGGAAGTGGCTTTGTGGAACTACACTAACTGATGCAGTATATTTTTATGTAGACAGTAATTTTGCTGGCCATACAGAGATATCATTTTGTGAATTCTGCTCTAGGATAAAATGTGCTCAGTGATGTAAATCAACCATAATTTTCTAAGACTCTGTTAGAGTTTTGTTTGTCTGGTTCCGAAGAGTTTAAGCTTTCTGGCCATGGTCTAGCTGCCTTGTACAGCTGGATTTATATATGGGGTACAATGTGACTTCAGCACATGGATGAGGAACTGCAGAGTTGATGGGTTTCTCCTGTTAAGAAGATATTCTCTGTAACTGCAATATATGGCACCCCATCCTTTTAATCCAAGAATGATTCCTTTTTTTCAGGTCCCTAGAAAAATACTTTTTTCCTCTTGCTTTATGGTAAAATTGGCTAGCAGTGGGATTTATTTGAAAAGATATTAAACTTCTTTTTCTATTAGCATGAACTGCATGATACTTTAAGGAGAATAACAAGATATTAATTTTGTTTTGGTCTCCTTCTGTGGAATTCCTCTAGTAGACATATCCTAGCTGAGAGAGACACCACCTTCTTTGGCCGTGTTCCTCCATTGGTGAGAAGCAGTTACAGTAATGTTATGAATTAGGCAGCGTGCATACTGTGGACTATGGGCTATCTAATGTAGTTTTACCGGTGTAGAATGTTGAGCTATAGCAGTGCCTCATTGTCCCTATCCCATCTCTTTTACTAAGTTCAGTGTGCCTTGTTTTCATTTCCTTGGGTTTCCCTTTAGCCAGTTTGGGCAGCGGGTCCAGACCCCATGTGCAAAACGTTCTGCTGTCCTCATTCTGCATTTCTCTGATATGCTTGGATCAAAACCCACCACTTTAATACCGTACTGAAATGAGGCTAGATGCTTTTAATTTAGCACACACCATTATTCAATTTCACTTACCATTTGACATGAGTGAGGTGTTCCAGTCCTGTAATCTGAACAATTAATTTTTTAAGTAATTGCCTGTCAACTGTGATGTGTGAGCAGCAAAACATAACAAATATGGGTAGCACTAATGCTGTTTTCCCAGGAGCATTGTTTGCAAGGGCAACTGTGGTATAACCTTTTGAAGAAGAAGTGGCTCCTCTTTCCCGTTTGACCTGTAATTCAGGGGGTGAAGTAAGCACCTAAAAGCTAGGCTTCTTTGCCAAAGACCCTTAAAGCAATCAGCCAGGTTGGTGAGTGGTTTTCTCTCTGTGATTGATTTTTTCAAAAAAATTATTAATTTTTGAAGGGGTTGAAGTTATATGGGGCTTTTTTTGTTGTTTTGGGGGTGTTGTTTTTTTTTGTTTTGTTTTGTTTGGTTTTTTTTTTTTTTTGAGACTGAAATCAACCTGGTGTTTGATACCGAAATGTTGAGAGACCAGTGTATTTAACTTTGAAAAGAATCCCAAGTACCTTGGGGATGTTGTAAATCCAGATTCTTAGAAGAGCAGAATTAGGCTGTAATAGCTCCACTCTAGAGACATTTCAGTCATCAGCTTGTTTTCCTATTACTGCAGTGTGTTGTACAATGTAATATTTGGAAATGAGTACCACAGCACAAGAGGGATTTCTACACGTTTTAAATGCTTGTGACCCCTGGGCTCTGTGGAGGAAGGCACCTGACTGAGTGGAAGTGTTTGTGACCCTGACTCCAGTGAGCTGGGAAAGTGTAGGTGTGAGTGTTGATTACGGGTTGTAATACACCTAATACAATCTACTGGTCTGTATCACACCAGGTTGATTTTGGTGACTTTCCCCACTGAGCAAGTACTAAGCTTTTGAGTGTTTAGCTTTAACTGCTGTACCTGTCACCATCCCCAGGCAAGGGACCTGAAACTCTTTATGCTGGGCAGAAACTCAATGACAATGAATGGCACACTGTCCGGGTTGTTCGGCGAGGAAAGAGCCTCAAGCTGATCGTGGATGATGATGTTGCGGAGGGTAAGTGTGATGTATGACTATTTTTTAGTCATTATCTTTGTATCTCTATTCCCAGTCTTTCCTCTGCCATTACGACCTTTCTCCCTGTTCTTGTGTGTATCTTTCCCCCCCCCCTTTTCGTTACTACTTGTATGTTATTTAACGTTTCTATATTGAAAACAAATGCTCAGGTCTGAGAGACTTTCTTAGCCAGCACCAGAAACTTCTGTGACAACTCTAACAGTATGAAATACAAGCTTAGGGGACGGATAAGCTTACACATACCTGAGACTGCAGAGATGTTAAGCTGCACTCTCTCTTGGTTCAGGCTTTAATTGGGTTAGATGTGAATATACCCCATTCCTGAGCTGCAAATGTGGTTTCCAATGCTGTGGAATCAAAGCCAAAGCTCTCCAAACTTTCCTCTGCACTTGTCCTTTGATAAACCTGTATTCATTACATGTGTTAGAGACCACGGATTTATGTCTCCCCTGTTCATTATATGGGTGTGGTTGTTTAGGGTGTTTTTTTTGAAGTTGGAGGGGTTTTTGGTTATTTTATTTTTTTTCAAAACGAAAAAAAACTTCTTGTGTTTATGGTTCAGAGCCTCCTGGAAGAAAAAGCAAACAAAGTAGTTTGTTCTCAACTTTATTTTAGAGATTAGGGAGGATTCTGACTCACCAGAGTATATCATATCACATTGAGTATGTCAGTCCTTTTTTCAGATAGCTTTTTGAGCTCCTGCTTCTTTTTGCAGAGAAATGTAGTTGAAGGGAGGAAAGAAAAGGTCAATCACTCAGGAAAGCTGATGTCTCTCAGGCTGAGATTTGCATTCAAATGATCAAGGTGCTTTAGATTAATCTTTTCTTCACTACAAAATTTTAGATGTTACACTTTTCTTGTCCAATTTTCCATGGAAACTTATCTGTCTTTTTTTGAAAGTCTAAAGTTCTCATAGTTGTAAATAACTGTATGACCTTGGGTTTTGAGGAAAATAGCAGCAGCCTGAAGGCTGATAATAGAATCAGAAAAAACAGAATCCTGGATTCAACACTGTTATGGGTATATTTGTTTAGTTGTGACCCGTGATGTTTTGCCAAAAGCTGAAGTTCTCTCTTCTGAGTAGCTTGTACTCAGAAGACAGCTAAAAGTAATGGCTGCTGTATGCAAAAAGTTTTTTTTGCAAAAAACTTTTCCTATATCCTATCTCTGAAAAAAGTTTTTTGTTTTCTGTATGAATGTGATTAATTTTAAATATTGTAGTAATTTAGATTATTTGGAAAGCTGTGAGCCAGAAATTTGAAATAAACTCATAGAAATGAGTTTGCAGTAAAATGGTTTGAGGTATTTTTGCCCTCTGAAGTAAATATATGCTGTGCTGTATGGGCTGTGAATTTGCAAGAGAGTACAAGAAACATACGCAAGAAAAATCTTTCCCTCTGGTTGCTGGAAGACAACTTCAGGAGTGGCTTGGTCAAAATTAACTTATAGGAAAAATAAATTTTGTTTAAGAGGGAACTTTCTGAGTTAGTGACGTGCTGGCAAACATTTCATCCCTAATATTTCTGCATTTGAGAACAATTCTTCTGGGATGTGCTATTTTAGGAAGCCCCACGAGGTGGCACTCTTTGCATTACCGAATTGATCCCCAAAAGCCATCTGTTTTTGAAGTCTTTTTTTTCGTGGAACTGAGTTTATAAATAATAATGATACAATCCTACACCAAAATAGGATACGCATATGCACATGTATATGAATTACATAATTAAAGATGCATTACAGCTAAAAATATCTGTTAAAAGAATGCCATCATGTCAAAGTCAAAAGTCAGAACAGCTAGAGAGTTAAGATTTTCTGTGCAATTTGCATCCCACTTCCTTGGGCAGATGATAACAGTCTTGAGTGATGTGGTCACATAGATTTTTCCACAGGAATCTCGCTGTCTTAGGTATAGATCAGAAGTCTAAATTGGGCTCTAGTAAAAATAAACAACCTGTTTGATTTCCATCTTCTTATTGCTTGTTTGGAACAATGCACACCAGAGCTAAGTTTTGCTCTAAATATAGAGCTGGGTTTTTTAAATTTTATTTATTTTATATGTGTGTGTTTTGTGCTACTCATCAATATATTTATACAGAACTAAGAAGCTGCAACTGGATTTATTCCCTTGTCTCTTATGTGAAGCAAGTGGGCATCTTTTTTCCATTTTACAGATCTGGGAACAAAGCACCAGCTTAAAGTTGGATGTATTTGGTACAAATTTGACATGATTTTTCAGTCATTTTCATCAGAAAGATTCAGCATATCTGTAAATTAGATCCTGTAAGTTAGTTCAACCCTGCCACCTGGAGAATTAGGTCTAGACAATTAATGACTACCAGTGAAAAGTTTGTAATGAAGTGTCTGACTTGGCTTCCTGTAGGACATCTAAGGCAGAAAGAGAGTCCAATTCCTCTGGACAGCATTTTGCTGTTTAATCACAAAGCTTTCGTCCCACATTCCACTACATCTTAGAACACATGTGATAAATGAAATGCAAATATAGCAGATATATTCAACCCTATAACATCATGCTAACACTGAAATACCACAGTGGAGGCTGGACTTTTTTCTGTCTGATACCACTTGAACTAAAGAGCTTCTGATTGCTGCGGTAGTTACAATACTCTCTATAGAGCACAGTGGAGGAATTAGAGGTGAACTCTGCAAGTGGGGCTGATAGCTAATGAGATCAGAAAATACTAGATTTCACTCCATGATTTCCTAGGATATTAAATCTCTGTCCTGATTTTGCTCTTGTATTGCCATGTCCTTTTCAGCGTTTCACTGAAATACCCTTAACTTGCTATACTACTGCTTCTAACATGATCTCTTTTTCCTTAAGCTAGCCCCAGTTTTCTCAATTTTCACCTCTTCTAAGATTCTGGTCTCACCTCTTCCAACCTCCTGCACTCCATTTTTAATGCCCCCTGTATTTGGCTTCCCTGTCCCGGCATACTCCAGATTTTCCAGTCCTGGCTTTTCCCTCCCTTGGGCCACCACTACTTCTTTGTGTTTATCTCAGTGCAGAAAAACAAAGAAGAGTTTTCTTGCTTTTGGTCCTTGACATCACTTAGTTTTATATTTCTAATTTTTTGAAGTAAAGAAGCAGGATTTTTTAAAAGAGACTTTCCTAATTTTATTTTTAAGAAAGTACTCATCTAGTTTGATAAAAATCATAAATTTTCATTTGATAACACTGAAGCTGAAACAGCCTCTAAAAATCACAGTAGTGGAAGTGAGAAAGTTTGTCTAAACAAACATCCTCATATACTGTTTCAGTTTCTGGGAACTGGCAAACTAAAATAATATTATTTCTGGTAAAGAACTGTTCCAGGATTTAAAACATTTGCATTGGTCCTGACACTTGAATTTCTGAAAAGCCAGAAGTATGTGACTGTCTTCAGCTACTTCTAAGTTTGATCAGCATAAACTGCTTGTATTGAAGCTTTCTGTGGTATTTGTATAATTGCCTTTAAATTTAGATCCGCTGCTGAAATTGGGAATAAGTGAAAAAATAAATCGGTTTGTTAACATTTTTTCTTCATATTTGAAGTAGGTACTTGAAAACATTTTTTCTAATAACTGTGCTTGTTTGCTGTCTTTGCATAAAACTTGATCACATTTGGACAAAGTATAAACTGAAAAATTTTATCATCCTGAGGGGTGATTTAGGAATATTTCAGTGTTTCCAGAGGCTCTAAGCAAGAAAGTGACCATCAGTTTATTAATCTGACTATTTATACGCCACAAGCCAGAATGTATCATCCAAGTGTCTTTTCAAATGTGTCCAGCTTTCCTTCTATCCTAAGAGGAAAAGAAAAAAAAAAAAAGAGTATGTTGCCATTAGTAAAAAAAATCTTGAAAGGGCAATTTTTTGTTTGTTTTGGGTTTTGTTTGTTTGTGCTGTTTGTTTTTGTTTGTTGTTTTTTTTTTTTATGCCTAGGAACTCTCTAGGTAAGAAATGCTAGGAGATTTTAGGGGAGAGCACAGAATATGAGGAAGCTTTGGGGACTTAAGTGGACTTTGTCCTGGATTTGCTTGTGATGTGACTGATGTGATTCCCAGGTATAATCCCAGTGACTCAGAAATATCTCTTGCAGTGATGAGTCAAGAATTGTGTATATATGCTTACTGACCAGAAGATGCAATCAAATAGGATATTGTTGCTAATTTTTGTCTGTCTGCAGCACTCTGGAAACATTTATGCAGATCTTTATCTAGTTGTCAAATTTCACAGAACTAGTGTGAATTTAAATATTTTCATCCCTTCTGTTTTTTAAACCTGGTGAATTTGATCAGCATGTTGAAATATTATTAAAGGCAGGCAGAGGAACCAGCAAGTAGTGTGGCTAAGAGCTTTGGAAAACCTTCTAAAAGGAAGGACTTTGCCTGTGCAGTGTTTATGATAATGGACTAAATAGACTTGACTTTGGGAAAATTAATTTAATTTGCTACCAATAAAAATAGAGTTAAATGGTAAGAAACGAAGACAAGAAGTAAAACACTGTCCCCCAGCCTCTCCTTTATTGGGTTGACTCCTTCTTTCCTGCCTCTCCTACCTGCCCCCAGCCAGTGGAGCACAGGGTGGGGAACGATAGCTGTGGTCAATCTGTAGCAGCTCCTCTCTGATTCTCCTTCCTCCTCATATTTGATGTGTGACTAAATAGTTAAAACTGCCTTGATGAAGAGCTGTGGAGGACTAAAATAAGGTTGGCTGAAAGGGTTTTCATTCTGATGTTGCTCAACTTGTCTTTATAGCATACTGTTGTATTTCTTATGTCTGTGGGGATTCTCTGTCTGCACTGGTGCCTAGACACTTATTGAAATATTTAAATAAACTGTAAGAGTAGTCTGACATATTTGGTATACTGAATAGCTTGGATATTTTAATTGAGAGGTTAAAATCTGTAATGATGTGGCAAATAGTCCAAGTGGTAGGCTGGCGATTTAAATATTCAGAGGACTTTTTGCCTGTCACTTTCTTGTGTGCTTCCCTCCTGCTGTGCTCTTAAAACAAGAGAAATAACATCAAGCCAAGCACCAGGAGAGAACAACAGAAAAAATATTAGCAGTTTTTTGATCGTTCTCACTTCTTTCACTGCTCTATTTATATAAATCTATGTTTATCAAATATTTTCACAAAACGCACTTGTAAGAGTTGTTTCAGAAGTGTCTGAGTTTGGCAGGTGAACTGTTGGATCAAATACATCACTGTAGGCTTAAGGGAGAGAGCTGGTCTTCTTCACAAACAAGGAAGTATGTGAAACATTGGGGAAAGTAGAAAGCTTGCTACCTATGGCCCTTAAGACCTGTCTTTTCTGCCAGATTTTGACAGCTGCTAGACTCAAGTGTCTCCACCAAGATTCTATACATTCTTTCTTATGCAAGCTATCAACAGTGATCAGATAGGATTAAGGTAGCACTGCTATAGTCTGGAAACTGGAGTGTGAAGGGCTTCATGTAACCTGTTAGTTATCCCCGATGTTCCTCCTTGTTTCTGTCCTTCAGGCACAATGGTCGGGGATCATACCCGCCTGGAGTTCCACAACATTGAAACAGGGATCATGACAGAGAAACGGTACATCTCCGTTATCCCCTCCAGTTTCATCGGCCATCTCCAGAGCCTCATGTTCAACGGGATGCTCTACATTGACCTGTGCAAGAATGGTGACATTGACTATTGCGAGCTGAAGGCCCGCTTTGGTCTCCGCAACATTATAGCTGATCCTGTGACATTCAAGACTAAGAGCAGCTACCTGAGCTTGGCCACCTTGCAGGCTTATACATCCATGCACCTCTTCTTTCAGTTCAAGACCACCTCAGCTGATGGTTTCATCCTCTTTAACAGTGGTGATGGCAATGACTTTATCGCAGTTGAACTAGTCAAGGGGTAAGCGTCTTTTTTATATTCTACCAGCTTATTTATAGATAAACTTACTTATAGATAAGCTTAAAATGCTTGTATAAAGAGAAATTCATCTCATACTCAAGTTGTCTGTTTGCTGAGGTGTAAGACAAAGCACTTAAACATAAACACAAAGCTTAAGACTCCGGATTTTTATCACTGACTTCCTCCTGTGGCTGAGGCAAAAACACTTTTACAGTGTGCAGCATTAATATTTTAAATTGTTTGGATGTAGCTAGACTAATGTTTTGTCCTGTTAACCTCGCAGCTTAGGACAGAGGAGGAAGAAATGTGCTGAGGACTCTGTATCTCTCTTCTCTGCCCACTTCCCCTTTTTTTTTTCCTGTAATACTCATTTTTCTGCCAACTTCACTGGAGGGGAAAAAATGGATATGGGCTGCTGAATCTGTATTTCTGCTGGTGATATTTGAGGAAAAGCAAACTCAGCTTGCTTTTGAGCTGGTATATTCTTTTCAAAAGACCAACAGCTTATTAAAAAAAATCCTTTGTTAGATGAACAAATTTTGATCTCTTACAATTTAGTCACGGTAGACATGTTTTCCACAAATACAGTTTACTAGTCCTGTTTATTTCAATTCAATCTGTTTCATTTTTAACTTTGCACATACATCTTAAGTGGGACATTGAGTAATAGAAAATGCACCAGTCACGAGCTTCTGGTGCTCTGTTGAGAGTTGAGTTTTGTTGTCTTTTTTTTTCCTTTCTCAAAAGAATCCTTCTCTTCTATCCTCAGGTGTATTTCTGTGTTTGAACTATATAAATAATTTAGGGTAACACTCCTGTGACTTCAGTCTTTGTCAGGGTCTTTATTTTTTTGCCAAAAGCATTGCTAATTGTTTTCTAGCTGTTTAAATAAGCCTAATGTAAATTTCACTAAAACATTTCAAGTGAGTTCCCTGAATAACTTCTTAAGAGAGTTATTCAAAACTCAGAATGAACCTGAGGAATATATGCCCCAAATAAGCATATCTAACATTGCTCCACAGTACATTTCTCGATATTACCAATTTTAAAAAATAATTATATTCTCAGACAGCATTTTTATGGATCTGCAAGAACTTTGTGGAAAACGAGGAATGGTTAGGATATGATTACTCCAAATGTTGTAATCTCAAAATACTAATCCTTACACTTTAATGGAAAGGAAACAACTACATCTTTTCAAAGCAATGGCTAATAGTTTGGCTTACTAGAGCTTTCCAAACCAGAGATACTTCCCTTTGTGACTTTTGTAGATGTCAGGTCTGGCTAGAATAAGAGTCAGTAGCGCTGGAATTCTTACACAATTTCAACTAGTTCTTGCTGTGTTTACAGGTATATACACTATGTGTTTGACCTTGGAAATGGACCTAACGTTATCAAAGGCAACAGTGATCGTCCTCTTAATGACAACCAGTGGCACAATGTCGTCATTACCAGAGATAACAGTAACACACACAGCCTAAAGGTGGACACTAAGGTGGTCACTCAGGTTATCAACGGTGCCAAAAATCTGGATCTTAAAGGTAAACTCTACAAGACTGAGAGTTCCCCCCTTTATTCTTGCACTAATAAATGAGAGAAAACTTACAATAACCATGCATTACAGAACAGTAAATCTGAACTTTGCTAATTTTGTCTGTCAAATTCGTTTTTCTCTTTCTTGTTTGGCAACTTCCTGTAGCAGAACAGTTTGTCATATTTTACTTTTTCAAAAATTGTCATCTTACATTTTTTTCCTAATTAGGTAGCAATTACAGCTAGGATTATTGGTGGTGTTTTGCAGGGCTTTTTTGATTGATTGATTTTTTTTTTTTTTTTTTTTTTTTTTTTTTTTTTTTTTTTTTTTTTTTTTTTTTTTTTTTTTTTTTTTTTTTTTTTTTTTTTTTTTTTTTTTTTTTTTTTTTTTTTTTTTTTTTTTGTTTGGTTGTTTTATTTTGGGGTTTGGTTTGGGGTTTTTTTTGTAGTAAAGAAGGCAGAAATGACTTCCTGCACAATGTCTCGCTCTGCTTTTAACTTTTTTTCTGAACATCTGTTCAGAATAAAACTTTGTTTTATTCACATTTGGTGACAAGGAAAGTCACTCTAAAAGGTGTGTAACTTGCTCCTCCCTGTACGTTTATCCCTCTTTCCTCCAGGTGATCTCTACATTGCTGGCCTAGCTCAAGGCATGTATAGCAACCTCCCTAAGCTTGTGGCCTCACGTGATGGATTTCAGGGCTGTCTGGCATCTGTGGACTTGAATGGGCGTTTACCTGATCTTATCAATGATGCTCTGCACCGCAGTGGGCAGATTGAGCGTGGATGCGAAGGTATAACTGATTTCAGAGAAGTTTCACTCACAAGCACTCAATTGTTACTTCATTGCTGCCCTCTGTGCGTCTCTTCCACCTTACTATTCATTCCATTAAGTTGCTTTTATTGCGATATCCTTCATTACACTTATGTCTTCCACATGCAGCTATTTGCTACAAGTTTTCTCAGGGTGGTTTATAAACATTACAGTACTCTTAAAATACTTTGGAAGATGTTCTGAGCATTCAATTCATTTTTGCTTCAGAGCACCCTTTTTTGGGATTCACAGAAGTAAGTATTTCGTACAATAAGGAGAGACAGGGGAAATGGAAGGTAGAAGGACCTGAAGGACAAAGAATGGGCCAAAAGAGGAGTTTATTTTTGAGGAAGTGGACCTCCAGTGAAAGCACTGGGCCCATTGCCTCTTCTGCCTGAAAAACATTTCTGTATTTTCTTTTTCCAACCAGAATAGAACTAAATGTGATGGGTTACTTTTTGAAACGTGTAAATAGAAGTGAATAATCCGAAGCTTCTTTAAGAATTTACTGTCCTTGCTAAGCTCCCGTTAATTAAAAGACTATTGACATCAGCAGCACTGACTCAGTAAAATGCATATGGCTTCAATTCCCAAAGCACTTGGGGTACTTGGCATCAAACTCCCCAAAGTTTTGCTATGTGGGTTAAATGACAATCACCATTGTGTCTGGTTCCACTAAATAGCAGTCTACTGTGTTGGCTACCAGTCACTAGAGTAAGATAATTTTTTCTGTAACATTGGTATGCATGTTTGCTAAGAAAAGATGTATGTCCTGAATTGATCCTTGCAAAATTTCATGAAGTTAAATTACTCCTTGGTTGTCTATCACCTACTGTGTTAAGATTACAGGTTATATCATGATGAAGACATACCATTTGTCAAGACTGTCCCTTCTTAGGATTAAAAGTATCATCTTAGTGATATCTTTGAGTATTCATGAAACACAAAATTGGCAGTTTGATTAGATCTGTTTCCTTGCTTGTGTCTGTGCTCTGGCTGGCTGGGAGCTCTTGTGCCCCAGCCTTCCTGTGAGAATTTTGTGTCTTTTCGCAGGAGACCACTCAATGTCAACTTCCACTTCTCAGCACTGGCACGTGTCACACAGCTGAAGGCTGAGGTTTTTTTCCATATTTCCCTCTTTTTTTCTTATTAGTGTCTGTTAACCACATTGCTCCTTGAGGAAATGAGCACACTGTAGCAGAACTTGTGTCTTTGTCCATTTGTGGCAGACTTAACTTGTCAAAAGAAGTGCACCTTTTCTGTTTTATTTACAAGGAAAAAAATGCATTGTAGGTTTTTGAAAATGTCAATTCTATTTAGCCTTGGTGTGCTGAAAGCACTTCTTTAATAATAGTGATTTTTTGGTAATTCTTCTGTTTAAAATTATCTCAATCCACTGGCTGTTCAGCTGTCATGTGATTTCTACTAACTCTGTCTTCAGAGGACCTCTCATTAGATTAACCTCTTGTTCTGTGTGTGGCTCAGGAGCAGAGTCATGATGCTTTCCCAGAAGACTCTGCACCATTATTAGAGCTATGGTGTTTCCTTCTCATGCACCTAGTGTAGTTCTTCGATTTAGTGTCCTATTACTGAGGTGTGTAATGTCACTGCCACTCTCAAAATGCACAATGTGGCACTTACTTTGTCTGTGTGCAAATGTGGTACCAGCACAGCTGCTGCCTGAACATGGAGATTGGTTCACTCTTAGAAATACCTGAAATGTGATTTCTCCGTCTCTTCTAAAGCCCTTCAAACAGGATTCAAAATTTGAAAGAGACCTAAAGAAATGGTTGGTAGGGTCAGTGACTGCCTTCATTCTGCCTTTGGAAGAACTTGATCTTCCAAAGCAGCACCCATGCTGTCTTCCCAAATGGTCCCTGCTCAGTACCAAAGGAACTGCTCAAGAGGAATATGTTGTTTTTGCCAACATATTTAGGATTAGTAAAAAACCTTAGAATTTGGTCACCAGGAAGCTGTTTCATTTGCTCAGTGTTTTGTTTGATTGGTTCTTTTAATCATAGCACTCCATAAGGCTTTGTCTCAGATCTTGGCTTCTGCCTGCTGGTGCCTATTCTTACAGTTGCCAGTGAAAGTCACACCTATCTCCCATTTCTATAAGGAAAGAAAAACACAAAGCATATTTAGTGCTTCTTTATATCTCCCTAGTTTAATTCCATCCCACATGATTGTGGGTCCAATCTTAACAGTGTTTTCAAGGGCTAAAGTCCCAAGCAGTCCTTGCTGCCTCATGATGTTTAAATATGTTTTTAATAAACATTGCAGGCTTTTAATAAAATTGCAGGCTTTTTGTGTGAATAGTTGTGCTGTGTTTTGATTTGCCAGACATGTCCTTACTTCGTCATGAAGGACAGTGGGATCACATCCACGATGAGAACATGCGTGCTTCAGGAAATGTCATTCTGTCCCCACATAGGCATGTGGTGTGAGAGAGATTTCTGCTAATGCTTCTCTTGTTGTGGCTTTGCTTTCAGAAGCAGAGGAGATTACAAGGTGGCAGATGTTTTCTCAGAAACTGTCAGTTTGATCTCAGGACAGAATCAAAGAATGTGTAGAGGAACGAAGCCTTGAGAATAGCGGAATGTGAGATGTAGGTCAGGAGACAGCACTGTGTATGCCTGAAACACACCAGCATCCTGTTCGTGTTTGTTATCTCTGGTCATGTATTTTGGTACCCTACTCCATACTCCATACCATCAAATTCACAATTTTTAATAGGAAAATTATATTCCTTATTGTCTTGGTGCTACTGCTACCTCATTTTATTCAGTCTGAGCAAGCCTTTGAATTTCCTTGGCCATGTTGTTTGTCTCATGTGCTTAAGCATAATTCAGCCTTGCTGTGCACCAAAGCACAAACCTATCATGTTATACAATTGTCTGCGTTCCAGTGATGGCGGTGCTTCTACTTGAGTGGGAAGCACTTTCAGTAAATGATATTTATATTTCAATGATATATTTATAGGAGAGCTTTTTCTTTGGGATCTGAAGAACCCCAAAGCATTCTTAGTCATATATATACGAGTCATTCTTGAAATGCAGACGTTCCTGAACTGAAATTTGCTGGCATTTAATGGTGTATAGTAATGTTAAAAAAAAAAAAAAAAGCAGTTTAAGACCTAAGGCAAAAATTACTTTATCTCTGATGGCCTATTGGTTCTATTCTTATAATTTCTTTAAATTATCTATGGTGGGATTTGTTTAGGCTAGCACAACTAAGTAACCTCTTTATCCTGTTTGTTAGGTGACATATCAGCTTCCTTTTGCATCATGGTTTGTTTTCATCACTCTTTTGCAACTGCAAAAAAACATTTCTGATTTTTGAGAAGCAACAGTCACAGATCTTGAAGGTCTGGTCAGATCTGTAGTTGGCAGCTTGTGTTTCCCTGGAAGGTATTTTGCTAAGCCAGAAACCACCTTGCTTCCTGGTGTGTTCTGTTGTGCTATACACAACTGCAAGGACAACAAAATTTGGGGATACTGACATGATGCCAATATATTTGTTCATTTTTACAGAGTATCTTGAGCTCTTGCACTAACTGCAGCTTTCATCACCATCTTTTATGTGACAAGAGGGCCCTTCCCCCTACCACTACCCCAAAAAAGGGGTTGGCAAGAGGGCCTGAAAGAAAAGCTGCCAAAGGTAGGGAAGTGGCTGAGACTTAAATGGCCCTTGTGTCAGTGTTGGATCAGAGTACTGAAAACTTTGAAGAGACAAAATCACTTCTCAGAAAGGACTTGAGTTTGGGGGAGGGCCTCTTCTAGCTTGCAAGCAAGTCTGCCACCTACTTTGGGCCTTGCTGTCCCCACCCATAAAATTCATCTGCATTTGTGCTGAAAGTAGGAAATTCAACTATGTCTTTTCAGACCACTTTGAAACAATGGGTGGAGGCTCCCAGAGATTAGCAAAGCATTAGAAACTGAGGAAAAGAGGTCTTCTATCAGAACTTGGTTTTCTTCAGTCTCCATCTCAACCGCAAATGGGGGGTGATTGGAAATTTTTACACTCCTGAATTTGCATGATACAGGCTATTCTACATTGGACAGTCACAGTTTGAGAGGAAAGATGTCTGCATTATAGTGTGCATGCAAGAGCTGGCATATGGAAGAAGTTGTTCCAGGTGACATCCTTTCCCTCCTTGAAAGTAAATAATTTAAACTTTAGATAATCTCTTTACTGGACTTTTAAAATCAGTTCTTTTTTGCTGAACTTTTCATTTCTGGTCTTAGCACTAGATGAATGGATTAGTTTATTCCATCCACAAAAGTCTAGACTGAGTGACTCACTGCATTTTCCTCACTGGTCCAGAAAGAAGTTAAGCAGATGGCAAACCTTTTGTGGGATTTAAAGAGGATGCCCCCAATATTAATGAGTACTTTCTGCATTTCAGATGTTTTTTCACCTCTTTATCAATTTGCCATATGTTCCCCCATGTTTTTCTTCCCTTTATTTGGACATCCTTATGTTGCTTATCATGGGCATTAGAGCTATCTGTAATGTAACTGCACATTCTAAATGTGTTCACTCCATCATGCCCCCAACCAAACAAACCTAACAGAAGTGCTTAAAAACATTTTATTTCTTCTACAAGGTGTTTTTTTTATGTACATTAGAGATGCTGCTTCTTCCTCACCTGTTCCACTGATAACAGCTTCTCACAAAGGAGAGTGATTATTATTAAACAGGCTGACACAGTTCCAGATGTTTTGGGACTTTTTTTGTCCTAATTTAATCTTCTTCCCAGATCCTGCAGAAAAATCATAATCTTTTGCAACTTTCCATGAACTAGTATAGTTAACCTTTGGAATTCACTGTTGCATGAAAAGCATGAATGACACATACAGGCTGGATAATCAGAAACACATTTTGCATACTAAGCAGTATGTGGAAAACAGAAAATCTAATCTCATGCTTAAAATCTCACAGCAGGATAATGTCAGAAAGGATTTCACCCTTCATCTG